TCCCGAGATTAACTTACAAATTTTAATGATTTATAAAATAGTTGGAATTGAAAAAAACTAAATTTATAGCTCAATTTAAAATTTACGCCTAATTTAATGGTTGAGATTTCAAACAATCGGAAAATATATTGATTTGCTCAATTTAAATTTATCTTGTTAAATGCAATTTTTCACTTTATGCATACGCTAAGTTATACATTGTCAAAACAAAGCCTTAGCATTTGCTGATTACATTCTTAACTAGGCCCTTATGAATAAAATTTGTCTTCTTGTGAAATCATGAGAATTCATGCTTCCAATAGATAGGTATATAACACTTCAAAATCACTAAGTAAGTAGCTCACTGATTTCAAAATATATAAAACATTGACATTCAAAACAAAAATCATTCATTCAATATAGAATATTTCACGTAACTAACGTGAGCTTTTTACGTCACTATATATAACGCAATCTAAGCTTTAGATTGGCTTTTTTACTTTTTACGTCATTTCCGCTTTAGATGAGATTGGCAAAGATTAAAGCAATTAGTATAATGAAAAAATCCGATTGTTTTTTACACTACTAATTCATTTCATTTATGAATTTAAAACATTTTGTGGATATTTTTTCGCAAATTATAAATTATTTCAAAAACAAAAATGTTTTTACTTTCTCAAAATGATTGATTATGCTACAGCTATCATCAATAATAGTACTTCTGATATCTTCCGGGAATATCATCAATTATCTTAAAAAACGAAAAATAAAACAGGAAGTTATACGATCACTACATATTACTTTAACGTATCATTTTTAAAATTTCTAATATTTTACCTCTTTCTTCTCCCTCTCTCTCTCTCTCTCTCTCTACATCAAGAGAAAAAGTAAGGTGTGAATTTTTCTTAATTACCGTATCTGCAGAAGTTTTTCTTTTCTAAATTGCAAAAAAAAAGTTATTCCAAAAATTCTTCAGTACCATTTAAATCTATTCAAAATATATATATTTTAGAATTATTATCTACTTTTTAAGAAATTTTAGGAAAAGAAATTATTTCGAAATTTTTTTCTTCTTTTTGAGTACTAATTTCTAAATTGATGAATATTGAAGATGAAATTATTGCGAATAATCACACACAGATAATATTTGACAGCCATTTCATATTAAATTTTAATAATTCTTTTGAACTAACTTCTTTGAAATCACATAAATTATCATTCTAATAATTTCAGCTATTCCTAGATTTTGCAAAAAAAAAAGGAATTTCAGAAGTAAAATAAAATGAAAAGATGAAAAATTAATTTGCCAACGCAAAAAGAATATCTTAAAACAAAAAAAAATATTAAATCATTAAATAAATTACAATTTGATCGTTTCATTTCCTTTTCTCCCTTTTTTTATTCCATTCCGTTTCGGAATCATTGATTCGGAATCAATTTAATGAAAAAGTTTTTTTAAGGAAGTCGTTGATGTATTTTTTCCTTTCTCCCTTCCTTCCTTCCTTCCTTCCGTCTTTTTTTGATATATTTTTCTACAATTCAAAAATTGTCAAATCCGGATGGGTCAACAAATATTGCTTATTTGCTCTTTTATGTTACCCTCAAGAGGGTTATATGTTATTATCGAAGGATCGGTGAGAAATTTAAAAGACTTATTTAACAAGACTAAATAAAAATTTAAATTGATATTCAAATTTTTTTGCTCATTTTAAGATTTTCTATATTTAATTTTCTGATAAAAAGTTTGGAAGGAAAATATAATCAAAGTTTATTAAACAAAATTTTTCACCAAAAAATTCATTTGTGCAGGAGCTTTTTTATTTGATGAAAAATTTTTTTGCAAATTGATAAAGATTGATAAGGAATTTGATAATTTTTAGATTTGTTGATAACTTCTATTACGCTTTCTATGATAGCAAAGTTATTATATTTGCAGAGATAATAGAAGTCATAAAGTTGTTTAAATGTAGCAAAGCTTGAAATGATAAAATAAAGAAAATTTCAACTATCGGGGCTTTTACAAAATATTGTGCTGCTTAGCTTCACTCAATGATATTTTACCTATCATTTAACATTAATCACTTATCAGTATGGCCTCTTTTGTTTTTCTTCACCAATAATACCGCTTGGTTTTACTTAGTGATAAGCAAAAACTTATCATATAGCGCTGATCATTTATCACTATGGTCTTTTTTTGTTTTTATTCATCAACAATACGATATTCATTTATTATTGATTTTTAATAAAAGTTTTTAGTGTTGCAGTATTGCTAAAGGAATTAGCAAATTTCAACAAATTATTTTTATCAAAAAAGAGTTTTCGAAATAACTTTAATCACTTGAAAAGGAATTAAAAGTTTCCTTTTTAATTGTTGTTGAATGGAATACGATCATTGATGTAAAACTAAAATTAAATTTCATTTAAATTTTACTTCAAAAATTTACTTAAATAAATTTGACTATTAACAATTTACTATCTTAATCGATTTACTTAAATTTCACAAATTAAAATTTTTAGATTTATCAGTTGTGTGAAGGATGAAGAAGCTTTCGAAAATGTTGTCAAATATTTTCCTTTAATGTCAAGAATTTAATTCTCTTCTTGAAACAACAATATAATATGACATCAGTAATAATTCATTGAGAACAGGAAAAACTTCACGGATTTTAACAAGCGTGCAAATTTCAATTAAATAAAATTCCTATCCTTATTAACATTAAACTTTTAAAAACATCTGTTTTTCATAGTACTTTGAAAATTTTGCATTTTCCTTGAAAATACATTTATAATCCAATTCATCAATTTATAATATTCATTCCTGATAATCAATTAATATTTAATTATGAAAGATTAGATAATAAAATATTAAAATTATAAAAGAAATTATTTTTAAGGGAGGATTGCAAATTATTTCGAAAATATAAAATGCATGCGAAGTGGTTAACTGCGATTTCTTAATTTTATTTTATTGAACCACTTAGCATAGATGAAAATTTCTCTGAAGTTTTAAATACATGAAAATTTCTAATCCTTTTTTTTTTGCGATAAAGAAGAAATTTGACAAGAAATTTTCTACGATCATTATTTGAAGTATCATAATTCATTATCTTCGAAATCTATCGGTCTTCCCATTTTTCCTACATCGATCTTCTGATTCCATTTTACATCAAAAAAAAAAAAGATCGTAAGGATTTGGAGGAAAAAAATTTATTTGAATTTTTGTTAGAAAATGAAAATTGCTTTTAATTTTTGATGAAAAATGAAAATTGCTTTTAATTTTTGATGGAAAATTGCTTCCTCTTTTTTTACCAAATATTATTTTTAGCAAAACCCTTCACTTATCTATGAAAAAAGAAAACCATTTCCTATCTTCGTTTTTTTTCACTTCCAATTAAATCTTATTATTTCTTAATTATATTTTCACAATTCAGTATCGTCGTCTTATCACATTAATGATAGTATGATAATGAATCTGTGTTAATGATTTTAGATTGGTATGCACGAATTTGCATATACTTATGCTCTTATTTTACGACAATTGACCACAGAATATGAAGAGTATAAATTATGCTTTATCACGCTATCAATAATATTATCATTTAACAATTTCATTTATAAGAGTAAGAGCTCTAAATAAGATCTATAAGTAGCAACTAATCTAATACAATAGTATATTTGAGAATTACAAATTTTTTTTTTCTTCAAATATCAACCGTTGAAAAGCGTTGCAGAAATGCATGATTTCTACCAACAACAACATTCGCTGTTAATTGATAATAAGGAACATATCGATTTCCCACACGATTTATTCTCTTCACGGAAAAAGTTTGTTTGCAATTTTGATGCATTACAGAAAATCTCTTCTGAACATTTAATTTATATATTCAAAATTATCAAAGATAGAAATAAAGTCAAATTGAATTTGTTTGAATTGTATTTGATGGAATTGAAGTTTTCTTTAATGCAACACATTTACAGCTGTTAAAACAGTTGTTGTTAAATAGCACTTAAAAACAATAAACAAATTTGACACTCACTAATTTAAATATCTATGAAAGAGGAAAAAGTTAAAATGCTAAAATTATAAAAATTAAATGCTAAAAGTTGTAAAAGTTCAACAAAGAAAATAAAACGAATATTTCATGGAAAAAAATTAATTGTTTTTATTAATTCTTTTTTAAATTTAAATTAATCATTTTATTCTAATCCTACAATATTTGTCTATGAAAAAGCCATTGAATTTTATTATTTCTTCTTGACAAATGCTATTTTCTTTTAATTAAAACTAAAAAAGCAAATAATTTTTTCCTCATTAAAACAAGCCTGTAATTTCTAGGCTTATAAATTTAATTTTGAGGAAAAGATAAAAATATTTTCTCGTCAAATAATTCCTACGCTCATAATTTAATGCTAAATTATTTTATGATAAAAGTTTGTACTAAAATGTTAATGTGAAAATGAAAATGAGTGGAATGAAAAAATTTCCCATTTGAAATATGATATCAATATTATAATATCACCATGTTTATTTCAGTACAATTATGATCATTAAAATTAGCTTTCTCTGAAGGCAAATTGTAGGCGAATGATATCAACTGCCTCTAACATTCATTGATTTATTCATTTTTCTATTATCATAATATTTGCTTGTTTTTTAGCTATTATTTTAATTACTATTCCAATCATTTATTTCATCTTTTCCATTTTAAAATTTTAATTTTACATTTATGATTTTATCTAAGAAAAATGCCAATGAATATGCTTCAATTTGAATAAGCAAAAATTCATAGATCAATTATAAACATAGTAATTGTTTACAACATATTGATTACATTGTATAATTAAATTATTGTCGCTTGTTTCTTAAATAGAGAAGTAGAAAAAATTTTAGGTAAAAAAGTTCACGTCGTCGGAACTCTTTGATATCTTTATCATATTGGTAATTTTGTTTCTTTTCATTTAGTCCGTGCGCGAAATCACTAATTATTCGTCTTCCAACTGTTAATTCATTTTGGCGCAGTATGACGAAATCGAAATATAATGGTTTGGTAATTACTTCAGCAGTTGCAGAGAGTGAAGAAACTAATGATTCCCAGGTCATCTTCTTTGCTTTAGATCATTATCTGCTCTCTATTAAGCATAGATGATATGATTGTCGGAACTCTTTGTATTTCTTTTCATTCAATTCGTGCATGAAATCATTAATTAATTTCCAACAATTAATGTAGAAGTTAGAAGTAATCAATCTTTCATTATCTTGAAAATGATACATATAATCAATTTAACAATAATAATAAGATAGATTGATTCCGTTAATAGTTCAAATATACAGGTTCAGGAAGATAATGAATATTCCGCAAAATATCAGGAATCCGGATTTTGTGAAAAATCTCCTAATTTATATTGTGTTCGAGGGACATTAACATTTTCGCTTCGCTATGATTTCATTCATCGTGTATTAATGGTACACGTTATTCGAGCTTGTGGTATTCCTGCTGAAGTAATAATATTTCAATATCTTTTTAAATTTGGCGAAAAATTTATAGTAGTAGAATAAATTATTATAATCCTAAAATTTTTTTCCGTACTAACCGTTAATAGAAATTTAGAATTCGGAACCATATGTGAAATTATGTTTGCTACCGGAAAGACGGAATCAATATAAAACTCGTATTTTCAAGAATTCATCTAATCCGGAATGCAATGAAATGTTTTCGTTTGATGTCAGCCATGCTAATTTATCCAATAGAATGTTAAAAGTGAGTTCTTTTTTAAGTATACTACGGTAAAAATTTTGCTTATTATGCATATGTATAGTTGAAAATTAATCAATGATTAATTATCCTATTAAGATTTTAAATTAATCAGATTAATTAAGCTATTGATTATCAATTACTATCATTGAGTCTTTTCATTGAAAGTGATAACTTTAATTTATCAAATTTTATTATAAACACATTTCTGTATTCAATTCGCTAAATTATGCTTTACCTAATTATAATTTGCGGAAGTGATAATATTTTGTTTTAAGAAAAAAGAGAAATGTATTTATAATGTTCGTAAATTGAAGCTATCATTTAAAACGAATAGATAAAATCAAAGTGATAAAGATAAAATGATTAATATCACTTTAATTTATTCATTATAACTAATCCTTTTATACTTACAATTCATCAATGAATCTTTTCTATATTTAATAGTAATAGTTTAAAAAATTTATTATTATTATCTTGATTTTACAGTTTACTGTGTATAATTTTGTTCGTTTCACGCGGCATGGTCTCGTTGGTAACGTCATTTTGCGTGATCTATTTGAGAAATCAGAATTGAATACGTGGACTGAACATACTATGCAAATTATTGGCACACCAGTTTGTTTTCACTAATTATCGTGAATAATTATCATTATTAATTATTCCTTTCGCTATTTTAAGATTTTTTCTTTTGATTATAATATTTTTATAGGGTAAAGATGATTTTGGTGATTTATTGGTTTATTTATCATATTCTATAGCTGATCGAAAACTTCATGTTACAGTTTCAAAAGCATACAATTTAAGACCAATGGATATTACAGGTGCTTCCGGTGAGCAAGCATCCGTTTTTTTTACCCTCTCAAGAAAACATTGTTTAAAACAATGTCATAATACCTGAAGCGTAGAATAAATTTTGAATTATTCATAAATATTAATTTTTAAAAGTTTGTTGATAATCTTAACACACTGATAATAAAATATTTCAACCTTACACGTTTCTTATTGTTACCTTTTCTTGTAATTTAAATTATAACCTTAGAAATTAATTTATCTTTTGAAAAGGAAATTGAAATTAATCGTTTAGTTACAACCAAAGAAAATCATAAGAGAATATTTAATATAACTTAAACTTTAACGAATAAGAAAAGTGACAATTCGAATATCAAATTAGAAAGAAATATTATAATTTTCCTTTCAGATCCTTATGTTAAAATTGAGCAAATTTATCAACAGCGTCGCATAAAAGCACGTAAAACGTCAATCAAACGAGCTAATCTAAATCCTGTATATCACGAATGTCTCGAATTTGACCTTCCATTAAATGAAATTGAAGGAACTAATTTATTAGTTCGTGTAATGGATTGGGATAGGTAAGAATATTGTGGCAAATTATTATCATTTATCATAGCTGATAAATAATCTTTTTTTTTCTATCATATATAAAATTCAATTCCTTTCCCTAATGTGTGATGAATTTTAAAATTTGAATACTTTTAAGAATAATCTATTGATAGTATTGCATATTTAATTCTGTAGTATTTTGTAGGATCGGTCGTGATGACCTGCTCGGTTGTTGTATCATTGGTAATAATAGTCCAATGCCAGAAGGTAAAAAACAATGGATGGATTGTTTCAGGGACATAACTTCGATTTGCGATAATTCGGTATGAAATTTCGCCTTATTCACACCCAATTTAATTTTAGTTTCAAAGTTGAAATTTTGGAACTTTTGTTGCATTGCAAAATATTTGCAAAATTTTTATCATTGAATTATTGCAAATGTAAAAAAGAATAATTCATGGACAATAAAAATAACAGAGTATAAGAATGGAATATTTTAAGAATTAATCATAATGAAAAAAATTTTTAGTAATATTTATATTTCTTATCAAGTGAAGGTGAAAGTGTTTCAGGATCGTCAACCAATTGGTACATGGTATAGTATCCTTGATGAGGTACCCGAAGAGTTTTGTAATGTTCCAAAAGCGAAGAAATAAGGTGCTTTGTATTAATGACCGAAATTTTTGATAACCAAATGAATTCTTTAATATGCTCAATTTAAGTAAAAGGAAATTATGGAAAGAGATTTGAAATTTAATTGTGAATAATTCAACGTATTATAAAAAGTGTGAGTAGCAGAAGATGAGAGAAGCTTAGAAGCAATCATTTTTCCACTTTAAATTTTGAATTATTTCTCGATACTTCTTTAGAAGACTACAAATGTTAAAAATCTTTTAGTGAAAAATTATTCCCAAAATTCCCACATTTTTTTTCAATTACGAAATCATTTCACTAAAACATTTTCATCCGTATTATATCTTCTTCACATCATAAATGGGTGGTATCTTATCGTCGATAGTTTTTGCTTTTCTTTTTAAATTTAATTTTCATTGATTTATTAAATTCTATCTATTTGACAAGGAAAAAAGAAGAATATTTTACTTCGTTAATTAATGAGAAAACAAAAAAAACTATCGATGAGAAGATTTTACAGAGAAATTTAAAAATTTATAAAATTCTATTTGTATATTTATGTGACAGATTATAATTTCTTTTTTTCTTTTTCTTATTTTCTTCTACTTTTTTTAAATTGAATTTTCAAATTTCGCTATAAATTTAAGCTTCTCTTACTTTTGGAACTTTTTAAATAATAGTGATTTTCCTAGAAAATTCTACTTAGAAAGTAATTTAATTAATAATATTAAAATTCCTTTGAACGAATGATCAGAACTTTTCCACAAATCATACAACTATTATTCTTTTTGTTTAATTTCAATTTAAATTTGTAAAATGAGAATTCAACAAATATTACTGTGTAGCAATTACTTTCTTTCAGATGAAAGCATATATAATATGAAATTAATTTAATAATTAATTATCTCGAAGCAAGTTATATTGCTAATGGAATCAGGTACAGGTGGATATTCATATTTAATTAAATTATGATTATGTTCATCTTTTGTTTTTTTTGCTAATAATTTGTTGAAATTCTAATAAATAACCGATTTGTGTTGCATTAAACATTGAATTTCAATGGAGAAGTACTATTTGTATTATATTTCTATAATTTTTAATTAAAACGAAATTCATCGAATTACCTGTTTTAATGCGGTGGCATTTGTTTTGTAAATCTTAACAAATAAAACTTATAGTAAAAGGTCAAGCAATATTTCTACAATGCAATCGATACAGATATTTAAATCTTAACAAATTATATCATTGGTACATTAAAAAACAGATATACCATAAAGATCATTTTTTTGTATCAGTTTTTGTATCATTTTGATTCTAATTTTTGTCCACCAATATTTTGTCGCATAATTCGAAACAAAGCTTATGTAATTTTTTCGAAGTACGATTTACTGACGGGCAATTTGTTGTGATCATTCAGAATGACAAAGCATTTTAGAGTTCTCAACACTCTTCTACAACTATTTTTCATTATTATCATCTGCAGTTTCTTCATCAAATGCAATATTTTCAAATGTGGAACAATATTCCGACGCTGATTTCATCGAATAATTCTGAAACTTTTAAAATCATTAAAATTTTTTTAGCTTCCATTTGAACAATTTTTTATAATAATTAATTAATTTTAGCAAAATTTTAATCTTTTTTTAAAATTACTTTCCACTTGTTTTAGCATTGAATTTATTTTTAATTTTGTTGTAAATTTTATAAAATTCGTGATTAAAATTTGAAATTTCAGCAACCTGAATATCATTTGTAACAGTATTTAAAGTTGTTGATTCATTGTTACGTAACAACTCAAGCTCATCTTCTTCAGTTCTTGCACCTCTCCAATGAACTGCTTCATAGATTGAATCCTGATTCGATAACCTTAGGAAACTGAAATTAATTTGTTTATTTAAAGTTCCTCTCCGCTCTTACTTTCTTTGCAAATTTTTATATTTGAATTGAATCACCAGTAATTTAATTTCATAAATCAACGTAGATAATTGATTACATAGGAAAGTTGAATTTTCGCCTAACTGTTAAGATCACTCCAATGATAATTGCACCAATAGCAAATGATGAAATGAGAGCTAGTACAAGACCGCCTGAAATAAGAGTTTAGAGTAAAAAAAATTTGAATATTATCAATAATTCTCTGAATTCATCCAACTTATCTATTCAAGGAAGAAACGATAATATTCCAAACAAGACGATGAACAGACATTAATGAAATTAAAGAAAACAAAACCTTTAATAGAGCTATGAAAATTCACCGAAATTATCTCTTCAATTTCAGCCATTGCCATTGAATGCGAAATTTCTATAAGGCAACCAATTAACGCTTTTAATTTAGGAATTAATCAATAAAAACTATTCTTTGATGTTATCAACTAAAAACAAACATTAATTTTTTAATAGCGAAACTTGATATTGCTAAAAACGATAGGTAGAATAATTGATAAATAAATAAATTAAATGTTTAAAGATGACCTTATGAACTTTTTTATCTAAACCAGATTTCAATCTATGCTAGCTGAACAATAAGAAATACATAAAGTTTATTGATAGTCAAAATGTGATTCTTTAGTGTTGAGCAATTAAATGTTGCTAACTGAAAATTATATGAGAAGCAAATTATATGATATAACAAAATGATTCATACAAATTTATTCTTTAGATCTAAATTTGTCGAACATTACCGAAATTATTTTGCACAAATCCGGCTACATCTTTTAGGACCGTATGGTAGATTTGCTCATCGAATGGACGTTTTGCACTTTCTCGTGCAAGAATAACAATCTCAATAGTAAAATGTGTTATGCATCGAATGAAATTAAAATTGGAAAATATAAAAATTTAAGGAAGTGTTTAATTGGTATTTATTATTAATTATTTGATTATTATTTATGAACAGCTTGATATTTCGTTGATATGCTGTAAATTCATATATTTGCCAAGTATAACATATCCTATCTCAATTCTTCGATAATATCTGCTATAAAATTTCGAATTATAAAAACACTTTTTTCTGATTAAGAAATTTCAACATTTGTCAACTACATTCCATATTTCTCAGGATTGATTATTCACAATTTTGTATTAAAATTACAAAAAATAATCTCCCAAAAAACTGTCAAATATTTCAGCCTTTAGTATTGCATAATTAAGCGCCTATAATTGGAAATTATATGAAATCAAATATTAAAATGACTTGCAATAAACTTTATTTCTTTTTTCATGCTGTAACATTTTCATCTTTATTTATTTTACCTGATATTGTGGTAAGAGATCATTATGATCGATACGTAAACTTGCAATATCCAAATCATATTCCATGATAATTCGATTCCCTCGTTTATAATTTTCGACTTCATTTTGAAATTTGTTAAAATTGAAAACTGTTGTTCGAAAACGAAGCATTGAACCTATGAGGAGTAAAAGTAATAATGCTATGAGCAAAAATTTTTGCATTTTAAATCCCATAGGAAAATTTTCCAGGGAAATGATAGCATTGAAAATGGCTGTCTAAAATTGCACTAAATTTTTAAATTTTAAATCCTCAAGGAGTTTCTTTGTAAGATTTCTGATTTTATTTTCTTCGGGAAATTTCAAAATTCTACCAGAAGCATTCAAAATTTTTACACAACATTGAATTTTCAAACGATTAAATCCCAAGAGACTTCCATCTCACTTCGCTTCGTATCATAAAAGATTGAAACTTAAGTTTTTGTCAAACGATTTTATCATATATCCTGCAGTAAATTGTTTTTCCACTTTTATGAATAAAGAAAAAAGATGTTATTACTACATTGTTGAATTATCCAACTAAGTTTCACACGGATCGGAATTTTTAGCTTATTCCTGATTCCATAATAGAAACCTTTGAATGAATAATAGCAATCAGTTTTATTTATCATCTTTCGGTTATTATTTAACTATTTAATTCTACTTGAATTTTTAATATTACCGCATATTTCACAGCAATGACCGATTGGTCGAAATGGTCGATTGCATTTCCGAACTATTGGTTGACATTGCTGGTAGGAACATATCAAAGCTAATTTCTGAAAATTATCTTAACTAAATTACGACGATTAACAGAGATGCAACTCTAATAAGGCATAAATTGTCGTATTTTATCAATATTTTTTACAACAAATTTCATAGAGTTGCAATTACGCAATAAAACGATCAATAATTAATTAAATCATTTTCAATATTGCAATTTCAAATTTGGAAGAAACAAAAAAGCTCATTATCAAAGAATAGAATAATATTTTGCCATAATCAAACTAATTTTCAGAAAATCTAAAATTAAATAATTTATTGATATTGGAATACATTTATAAAGTTTCCTACAGAACTTCTGATTAAATGTAAAAACAATAAACACTTCAATTTTTGAAGTTCAAATTTTTCTTTTATTCGTCGTATAGCAGTAAATTACTAGGCAGTAAATTACCAATTCTTAGACAGATTTACATAATTCTTTCACAGATAGCAAAATTCAAGAATGCTTAACAAAGAGTTCATCAAATCCCAAAGTACGGATTGCTAGCCACAGTAATAATCAGACAAGCTTATTTCTTGTTGACAAAGATAGCTGGTTGTTATGATTTATGCTTTCAAAAATTTTTAATTTTAATACTTCATAAGACTTAAATTTTACAGTCTAAAATAACAATTACTTTGGTAGAAATTTGATTACTTCAGCTTCCAAATTGCTATTGAATTGTCCGGCATTGTGTTTCGCTGGATGAAAATCCATTATTGCTACAGTATTCTTGAATTTAGGCAATTGGTAATGGATACTATTAATGCCTCGAATAGATTTAAGTTTCAACGCCAAATCAAATTGAAATTGGCCTTCGATGGATCGCAAAAATAAATCATTGAAGGTATCATTGTTCTCCACCTGCAATCATTTCACTTAACTTATCGTAGTACTATCGAGGAATATTATCATTTTATATTAATTACATTTCATCAAATTAAAATTTAAATTAATTGTACTATTTATCACTTAATAATACAATTAATTTGTCAGTAAATATTTTCATTTTTATCCGATTTTTGTCAAATGTTATCATCATTATGCATTTATTGCTTCTTCTATTAATTTCATGCTATCAAAGAGATCAGGTTTTTCTAATTTGCAGGAAATTCAACCGTCTAATATCATTAAGAGGAAAACTTTAAATAATGAAGAAAAACTTGAAAACTTACTGATACTATATTAGTAAGTTATTATTAAGTAGATTTACTATGTTTTCAAGCTTTTAAGCGACTACTTCAGATTTGTATTTTTTAAGTTTTGGTTTCAATACTCAAACAAATTTAGTTCTCGATTCATTGCTTACTTTTTTCATATTGTAAAAAATGAAATTTGTTGAAAAATTTGATAAAAGTAAAAAAATGTACTTTCATTAAATACTATCTAAAATGAAGACTATCTGAAATAATATTTAGTTAACTATCTGAAATAGTATTTAGTTAACTATCTGAAATAATATTTAGTACTATCTGAACTAGCATTTAATTGCTATCTGAAATAAAGACTGTCATTTGTAATCCAAGCAATATAAACTCATATCGAACTTATTCGCAAGTTATATCTTCACTTATTAATTCCTTTCACTTATTAATTCAAATTTCAAATTATCTAACTTTGATACAGATAAGACATTTAGAATAAAATTATTAATACCTAACATTTCATTATATTTTAATTCTATGATGTCTTCAAAAATAAAATTTGTTTTCTACAACGAATTTTCGAATTATTTAGCTTACATTTAATAAACAACAACTAAAACCAAAAATTACTTTCATATTATAAAATTAAATATAGCAAAAATAAATAAAACAACAAAATTAAAAATTTAGATTAGCTTTTTCCGATAACAAAAACAATATTGATATATGTATGTGAATAATGCTTGAATTGATGATCGATCATAAACATTTCAAAATGAAGAAAGAGTGAAGAAGACAGAAAATATGAAATATTTCAAAAAGCTAATCTTTTTTTTTCATACTGTTGGATATAGCTAAACAAACAAAGTTAACATTTCCAAAGAAAAAGATGCAAAATACGTATTAGTAAACATTTTTAGCAAAAATGTTTTCAAGTTGAACTTTCTCTCTCTTTTTAAAATTATTTATTTAATCATTGATAAATCACAAAATGAGTTATTGTTTGTGAACTGAAATTAAATAGAGTACCACAATTTGATGAATTGAAATATTAAGTAAAAATTGAATATGTTGTTGTGATAATATAGTAAAATAAAAGCATGTAATTGTAATTTACCTGACCAGCTAACGTTAATGCACCAACTATAACAAAATCTTCTAATAATATTCGAGTACCACTATATGATGGAATTATCGCAGTATCCTGAAAGAAATATCCAGATAACTGTAACAGTAACAGTTGTACTGTAACATAACTGTAACAGTTGTGAAACAAGAATTTAGAATTCGATATCAATAATTGCAATCAGTTATCAACCAACATTTCATATCCTTTGAATATATCTTGATAATTTTTTGCTCTATGTTTAACATAAAATATTTTAAAATGCTGTTAATTTTACAATGTACTTTCAAAATGATTTATTTCACCTGAGATGATGGTACCTGGAGAGCATGTAACGCTGGGTGCCATTTAATTCCATTTTTAGAAACTATCCAATTTGATCCATTATAGAAACCCAATGATGGGCTTTGTTCGAAATATACTTCTGGAATTATTCCTATTCTTAATATTTAACTATTTGATAAATGTGATGAAAAGAGTGAATAGGTTTTCTGTCATATTTAACTCCTGAGAAATTCCAAAATCTTCCTGAGAAATTCCAAAATCTTCCCGATTGACGAATTGATACAAAAAGATTAATGATGTAAAACAACTTCCTTCCCCCATAATTTTTCTATTTCAATTAAAAATAAAAATATTTTGCAATATGAAAGGATACGAAGCCAAAAAAAGATTTGGTGATAAATTTTCCTGAAATGTTAAATCGGTTATTCAATTAAAATCGAAAATTTCTTTTCTTCCTGTTTAAATAATAATATTTTACAGTAGGAAATTTCAATTTCACCTTCCGCATTCTTCCTCCTCTTACATTGCCAGCTACCCAATTTTCCCATTTCCATCATTTCACCGAAAAATAAAATTCCATTTTTGGGAAGGTTAATTTTTTGTGAATGTAACCGATTATCAATCAATACGGTAGTGATTTTTTCATCATCGAAATTAATTTGATCATTTTCGCATGGGATAATATTATTTTTCCAATATTCCATTTTGTCTAGAATATTTGTCCGACGAAATATATAATTTAAACATTGAATATTTGATATTGGTAGTATCAGTAGTATTAGCTCAAAAATATTTCGAAGCATTTTTCGCATCTGCAATTAATCTTCGTTTGTTGCGAAAGATTAAAGAAGTTTGATAATTTAGATTATACTGGTTGATGACTATTAGATTAATCAGATTATATCGATTACAGGATTTCACAATAATACTTTGAAGCTGTTGAAAATTCACTTCTATCAATGATTATGAGAAATTCGTGAAATGTTTCTGATAATTTGAATAAACAAAATAAATGATAATTTTGATTAATGGCATTAAAAGTTATAATTCATAGTTTATTATATACGAAAAAATATACATTTAGTTGTCGGATTGCAAGAAAATTCATGAAATTTTGAAAAGAATTCTGAACAAGAAATTTCCTCAAATAAACTATAAAAGGTTAATTGCACTAAATTGCTTTAAATTTATTTAAAATATATAAATTATGAGAAAGAAAATAAGAAATAATTAAAAAACAATTAAAATAATTAAGTTAAATTTTGAAAAAGTTTCAGCAAAAACTTTTATTATCAATTGGTATAAAATATTTTTAAAATATTAAGTTTAACAGGTTCACTGAAACGAATGCTTCTTCGTGCTTCATATGGTTTAAAGAGGTGAAATATTACTTCTATGATACTTTATCGAAATAATCGATAAAGTTATCACATAAATAATGTTTCGTAATATGTGTTAAGGAAGTGATAAAGGAAATCAGAAGTGATTATTTTATAAGGTATTCAGTGTGTATGTGTAATATGTCTGTAGATAAATATTTACAATCATTAATTTCTGTGCAAAAATTACACAAGAACTTATCAATATTTACATATTTCATAATGAAACATTAATGGTCAAGCAATGCTACCGTAATTATGAAATAATATTGAATAAAATGTAAAGAGAAAGGAACAGACAATCATATCGGCTATAATCAAAGAAAGGAAACAAATGAAATTTACAAAATTTTGAAACTAAAAAATTTTGTAAATTTATCATTTATAAAAATAGTTGTAAAATAATGATTGAAAATTAAAAATAGAAGCAATAATTTTATCAATTAATTTTAGGCAATATTATCATAGAATATTTGTGTACGCACAATTCCCTATTTCCAGTCTGCTTTCGATGTAAAATAATACTTTCATAAATGATAAAAGTAAAATCAATTCATTGAAATGCAGGAGAATGAATGATGAATGATTTCCAAAAAAATGGGAATTTACAATTCTTTCCGATTAATAACAACGATTTGCTAAAAAAGAAAAATGTTTATATCATGAATAATTAAATAAACAAATAAATAAATGCAATGATAGATTATCATATCATTAATCATCATTGAATGGCATTAATACATGCCATTGTGCAACGGAACGACGTGGTGTTGCAAGTACATCTTGCCATTGCTTTAATGCTACACCATTAGCATTATTACCGATGATAACGTGACCGATACGTTCATTTGAACCAACACGATCGTAATCCGAAACCGTCACTTGCAAATGCACCCGCTAAAATGGAATTGTTTATATTAAAGCTAATGGAGAATTTATTATTAGGATAAACAAAAAATATCATATGAATGTTACTAGAATAAAAACAAAACACACAAATAATATTGTGATTATTTTTTTCTAATTTGGTAATAACCTATGATTATTTATTAATTACTATTAATTTTAAATAAGCTAAAGCTAATATTATTTCCAATTTTATTTCAGATTTACTTGAACATTTATCCTTTGCTGCAAAATTTTTAAGCAATGTAAAAGATAAAAGAAATTTAGTGATAATAATGAAAAGTTTTGCGAACAAAAATCTCTTCAATTCTGTGCATTTATAAAATAATGAATAAACATAATCGATAATATAATTTAAAGTTAAATCAAAAGAATTGTATCGATTTAAAATTAAACAATAATAACTTAGAATTATTATTCAATTAATTATCATTATTTTTTAATAGGCTAAAGCTAATATTATTTCTCAAATTATCGTTATTTACATAATCATCTTAATATCATGATTTTAAATCATCGAAAATTTAAATATATTTACATGTGTATATGAAAGTGAAATGAAAAAAATTTAAGTAATCGATAATTTTCTAAATTTTAATCAATTAATAATGATAATTTTACCTGCATTTTCTCTGGACTGACATCAAAACTGAACGATTCATTGTAATATGGATTTAATGTTTTCATTTTAATTGTTGTTTTCTTCTTTTCTAATCGCTTCTTTTGTAACATCAAATAAATTTTAACGTATGGATCTGTAAAGAAATGCATTTGCTTTTATCACAATCCATAATAATATCAAAATTAACCGACACATTAGAATAAATTGAAATAATTAAATTTATTGCTATGAAACTAATTGCAAAATGCTAAGCATACTTTACTGAAACTATTTTATACTATGAAATTATTTATGCAAATATTCAAGCCTAAATTGATTATATTATCATTTATTGATAATATCATCGTTCAAAATTACATCACTTTAGTTACGCAATATGAATTTTTTAATCAGTGCTATAAAAATGGATTTTTTTGAATTTGAAGAATTATTTTAACCAAAATTTTAATTTGACAAATTTGATATTTCAATTTGAAAAATTTATTTTAATTAAAAAAAATCTGATATTAACCTGATAAACCAAGAACATCCATTCTTTTCAAATTTTTACATTCCATTACAACAACCGTTAATTTATTCTTATTTGGAACATAACGAAGTGCTAGACAAACTTCACCTAACCTATTTTCCTGAAATTTGTCAAGAAATTACTTCTTGTATTTTTTTTCAAATTCATTTGCTTTTATGTTATCAAAATTATCTTATCATAATCTATTATTAAAATTTTTATTATCATATTCTTTATAATACTAAAAAATTTTTATCATTATACTGAGTAAATTGATCTGTACTGAAAAATAAAATTCCGTAATTCCTACTTGCCATCAATTTTTCATAACTAACAAGAATGTAAAATATTTTTTTGCAATCTAAATAATAGGAAAAATATCCTTTAATTTTTTGTAATAATTTTCAAATGGAAAAAATACGGGTGGAGATTGGATCAGGTCGCAGCATTCAATGGTAGTCGCTAAGTCTGTCTTTCCAAGAGGTATTGAAATTTCGCCTATCTGAAATTATTACCATAACTGAAAGATTGCTCAGATCTTTTGTTTTATTTACCTTCTTTTCTGCTCGACCTTTGATAATTACTAAATTTTTTTGAAATCATCAAGCAGTTTTTGTGATATATTTTTGTTATAATAATGCAAAAGAAATAGTAATAAATTCGAATATATAAATTTATGATTTCAATAATAAAATTTCAATTCTCTTAAATTATTATCAATATTCATTCTGATTTAATCTTTTCGATGATTGATATAAAATTCATAAATTAATGTTTATTCCAAAGGTATTTGAAATAGATATCAAAGATCTGAGATATTATAAGCTTACCTGATCATGTTTACCGAATCTATCAAAATCAAAAACACTCATAACCAATGTTTGACTGCTAATTTCGTTATATGGTATCTGAAGATTAGATAAATTAAAAATGACTGAGATGTCTAACATTTGAATTGTTATATCAAAAAGATATAAATGATAATTCTAATTAGCTGTAAATAAGAAAAGAGTGTAAAAATGACATTAAATTCCGTAATACTTTCGAAAATGGAAATGAAAAAAAATTGCGAAATTCTTATTTTTAATTAATCTGCCAATTTTTTTATTATGAAATATAAAGATGAGATTAAAAACTGATCGACCAAGAATTAAAGCAATCAAAAATCATAAACAGAATGAAATATTTGACAATGAAGGCGACTAAAAGTTAAAGGCCTTTACTTAGGCCTTAACAATTTGTGTAAATGAGTTGCACGTCAAATGAAAAAAGTTAATCATTATTCCTCCACCCCCTTATTTTCAATCATTTTTTCATTCAGTCTATATGTTGTAGGAGTAAATGAGGAAATTGTTGAATTAGTTATAAAATTCATCTAAAAAATATTTTCACTTCAACAGCGAAGTAAGTTATATTTTTCAAAAGTAATTGGTTTTCGAAAATGAATTTGACAAATTTCTATCAATCATAGTAAAGATCACTATAATTTAGTTAACAAAAAAATAAGCTTATTCATTTCATTCAGTAATTTCTGCATCGGAATTCAATAAATGTCGTGAAAAATATTTTTTGCATCCTTAATGATTTGCAATTTGCGAAAGCATCCTTTCGTGATTGATGATTGATGTGAAAAACTTCATAATTCAATTCGTTCATCTTTGAAAGAGTTGTTTACCTAACGCCATTTCAAGCGTTGTCGTAAGCATTCCAATTAACTAATGTCAGCTAAAGATTGTAGCTTCTGATAGATATCGATTATTGTTGCATTTTCAATTATAATTGTTTCAGTGGAATTCAGAAAGCTATTATAATAATAGATTAGCAAAGGATTGTCGTAGTTTATTTCTTTTCAAGTGTAAATTTAATTTTGCTAATTATTCTGACACTTATATTGTGCTCATAATTAAATTGATTATCACTTATTATTGTATTCCGATTTGTCGCACAACATAATCTGTTCAAGGATAGGACAATATTTCAAAATGACAATTTCACTTTTTTTTTTAATGCTGAATATCCGCAGAACTTCTTTGTCTCTCTGAACTGGTTATTGTAAAATTTCATATGACCGATCATTGCTGCTCATTTTCAAGATTCTCATCTTCATGTATCTTTCTGAATCACTGCTTTACTTTATATTTGTATTTGTAGTTCTTGAGTCAAATACGTAAATACTGTTGTTCAGTATCGTTATAGGATTCAATAATTATTTAAAAATAATTCAGTAAAAAATCAATAAATATCAAAAAAAATTATAAAAATAACAGTTAGCTTAATTTGAAAGTATTATCTAATAAAGTCCCGAAAATTTCAACAATGCAAAAATTCAGCATTATTTTTTGCACCATTCCTATATACTGCAAATATTTCTTATCAGTGAGTAATCCTATCAATTGAATTATTAGATATATTTTATCAGTGAATAATTCTATCAAATAATATCATTATTGTTAGAATGATGATTAATATTGCCATTATTTCAATAAAAAATAATTTTCATTGATAAAAAAGAAGTATAAGTTTTCGTTTTCCAATCAATCAATACTAATCAATACTTATCATTATCATTGTTGTTTAAATAAGTAAAAATTTTGCTTTATTCAGGAAAGAAATATTATTTCATAAGATAGTGAATTAAATGAAATTAAATTGAATTTACCTTAAATATGAAATTTTCATTAAAAATAGGATTAAGCGATTTCTTTTGCACTTTTGTTTGATATTTCTTCTTTTTGTCCGGTAAAAGGAATAGCTTAACATATGGATCAGAGGTGCCACCAAGATCCATTGCTGGTAATCCTTCTGCTCGAATGACAGTTACCGTTAGCTATAAATTTCATATTTCATAAAGAAAAAAAATTCATTAAAATATGATTAATTATTCTTTTATTAATCAAACATAATAGTGTATTGTTTAAGAAATGATAAATAGATATTTTGTATAGTTGAATATGATGAAAAGTAAGGAGGAAAAACAAAGTAATTCTTAATTTCTGAATTTTTTTCCTCCTAAATTTATCCCAAAATGAAAAAATCAATGATACTTTTTACAAAGAAAATTTATCATTTATCATTTAACTCATAAAGAAAACTTATCATTTATCATTTAACTTATCACTTATCAGTGGTACTTTTTGTAAAGAAAACTTATCACTTATCATTTAACTTATCATTTAGAATATAATTAAAAAAAAAAGCCAAAAATAAAATTAAGAAATCATTAAAAGATTTTTAAGATTTTTTAAGATTTAAAAGATTTTTAAAATACTCCAAAATAAAGTAAATTACTTTAACAAAAACATTTCTTATTTTAAAGTAATCTAAATAATCCATTCTTGAAATGGCTTTTCTTTTCTACCGAAATTCATTTTAAAGCGAAAAAAAAGTCAATTTTATTTTTTACAGCGAAAATTTACAATTTTAGGAATTTCTAAATTAAAAAAAAGAAAAAGACAAATTGAGAAATATTTGCGCTAATAATAAAAAGATATTACAAGAAATTATTTGCAAATTGAAATTGAGAAAAATGACAATTTTTAGGTACAAAAAATTTTATTGAAAATTTTTGTTATTTATGCGTGCATAAATAAAATGCGGCAAAGAAGAAAGAAATTCATTCTTATAAAATTTAAAAAAAAGAAAAGGTCACATAATATTTTATTCATTGTAAACAAAATCACTCATTGAATTATTTTGAAATTTTTTTTAAAAAATTTTTCTTCCCTTTTTTGATTAAATCTTAAATGGAAAAACAAAAGCATTTCATAGATCAATGATCAAAATTTCTTAATTCTTATTTGCTGTAATCTTATTCTCAATCATTATTATTCCATACAGTTACAACAATTACAGTTCGTTTTTTTTTTGATATTATTTAAATAGTAATATTTCTAGGAATTATGATAATTAATTTACCTGTCTGAAGTTTAACATATTTATAGATTAAGAGATTTAATATTTGTAGAAATTATGATAATTAATTTACCTGTCTGAAATTCAATATAATTATAGATTGAGAGATTTAAAGAAAAACTTACTGAATTCTTATCAAAGTCATAATCAAGTTTGTATGATAATCGTCCCAAAAATTTCTTCTCCTTTTTATCCTCCTTTTTCTTATTTGTTGTTGTGGTTGAAACCAATTCGGCAGCTGTAACAATTGAGGAAATTTGATTCAATAAAAAGTTCAATGTGTCAGACTGCAAGAATCCTTTATTTTGATATTTAGCAGAAAAAAAAAGATGCTACAAACTTTTGAAAGTTCAATTTATTAAACTGTCATTAAAAGAAAGAACGATCGATTTGAATAATATTTTGTTTAATTAATTTATGAAATTTTAAATTCAAATTATTCAAAAGAAGCTAATATTATTGAAGTGAATCAGATGTTATAATAACGATTAGATTATAAATAATTTATGCTATATTCTGTTATCATATCTTAAAGATAATTAAAATTAAATAGTAATTAAGTGTTAATGAGTGAGAAAATAATGGAAAAACACATGCATATATTTGTGTTGCTTTTGTTCCATGAAAACATCTTTTTTTTTTTCATTCCATTTCTTTAACTGATAATAACCTTTGACATATGGATGTACACATCTACAAATCATAATCATAATCAATTATCATTCTCAAAATCATACTCATAAATCATATTTAACAATAACTATATGATTACGAATCCAATTTCAGTATTTTACTATTATTATTAAAATGTAATAAAACATATCCAACAATGCTTAAATATCACAATTAAAATATTATAATTCCATTTTTAAATGATTTAAAAGAATAAGAATTTATAATATCAAAAATAAGAAAAGACGAAAATTATAGACAGCGGATGTAAAAGGAGCCGATATCCTTAATAAATATAAATATTTGATGTATCTTTCTGTTTTCCTCCTCTTCAAATATTTCCACATAAAAAAATATAAAATTCATTTTGCAATTAGTTTAAATCTAATTAATTTTAATTAGCAAAGAATATTTGTGAAAGATATAATAGCTTAAATATTAAAATGAGTAATACGATAAAATTAAATTCATTTTTTATTATTGCCTCAATAGCTGTCATTAATTTAAGTGTTTATGAGTGAGCATTAATATTGAATAATAGATTTTCCCTTCTTTCTTTTTGTTAATGTAATCATTTTAAAATAATAATAATTTAAGGAAAAAAAAACGAATTCAAATTTAAGGATTAGTTTGTTTAGCTATAAACTGTTAAACTTTAAGATAAACAAATGAGAAATTGTATACTATCGCGGAAATTTGAGAAAAATAAAAATTCTTCAGCAATTTATTTATTTTTTCTAAAAACTACGATCTCCATTTTTGGCAATGCCGAAAAATGAAATATTATGGAGAAGAAAAAAAGAGCAAAACATACTTTTCATATATCATATGATAATAGCTAAGCTATGATATTGCTAAGGAAAAAACTTCCATCTATAAGACATTTTTAGTTTTCTTCTCCAAACACATTCAATCATTTCCATTTCAATTATTAATCTTCCGATACTTACATTCTATTTCTCTATCGGATATGATTTTTTTTTTTTTTAGAATAACTGATTTTATAATTAATTTAAAATTTTTTCAATTTTTTTTTAGCAAATTCTTTGTTGAAAAATGTTGAAGAAGAGGAAACAAAAAAAAACTAAATGTTAAAGAGTAATTTAGGAAATTTTCGATTTTCAACATTGTTGAAGGTTTACAAATGGTATCATTTATAAAACTACAACAATATGTTGAAAATTTGGCAAAAGAAAAATTATAAATGAATCTTATCTTTTCAATTTGTTTAGTACCATTTATAAAACTACAACAATATGTTGAAAATTTGACAAAGAAAAATTATAAATGAATCGTATCTTTTCAACTCGTTCGGTACCATTTGTAAAACTATGTTGAAAATTGTTGAAAATTTGGCAGAATCTTTTCAATCTTTCATTTTATGAAATGAAATGAAAAAAAAAAGAAAACAAAGAATGAAATTAGAAGTAATAAAAGAAATAGTATAAGAGAAAGATAATTATTTTGAAATGTTAACTTGTCGTTTGACTCATTCATTTTATTTATTATATTATTGGATAGCATTTTATTCAATGACGAATTGGAGCACGAAAATTCAAATTTCTTTTTACTAAAGTAATCTCTCTTTTTTTCTCTCTCCCTCTCCCTCTCTCTCTCTTTCCCTCCCTCTCAGTTAGTAATTTATTTTATCGTTTATTTTAATGTATCGTTGATAGAATTATCAAAAAAATATTGAACAAAATATAAGATTTTATTAATGAAATGAAGAAGAAAGTGAATGATAAGAGAGAAAGAGAGAGAAAGAAAGAGGGAGAGAAATATATATAAGATAGCATCCAGACAAGTGAGCAAAAAAAGGTATTCAAAAGTAATCAACTTAATAAATGATTAAATCTTCTGATCTTGGAAAATCCATAAGTCTACAACTTTACTGATAAATGAAGATAAATTAAATTGATAAGTGATAAGTTAAATTGATAAATAATGCAGAAATATTTACTTACAGCTTCATGAGTTTTAATTTTAATTTAAAATCTTATTTACATTGAATAACTTTATCAATGTTTATTATTCGTTTCTTCATATCTTTCATTTTACTTATCCTTTCCACTGTTTACTTTTCTGTTTAAAGCTATTTTACGACATTTGATCATTCGATTGGAAAAAGTAAATTTAGAAAGGTTATTTACAAAAGAAAAAAAATCTGCTAATCTCTAATTATTTCCTTTCTTTTATTTTTCTAAAAATAATCTGTCAAGAAAGAAGAAAAAAAGTTATCGTTAAAAAGAGATGACGGGAAATTGTTACCAATCATGGATTCATTCAATCTACTGACCAGAAGGATAAGATGATGCAATACTTTTAAAGATAAACAAATGGTAGATGAATAGTTTGGAGGATTGGTTGATTGGTTGGTTGGTTGGTTGGATGGATGAATGGATGGACGGATAGATGGATAGATGGATAGATGGATAGATGGATAGATGGATAGATGGATAGATGGATAGATGGATAGATGGATAGATGGATAGATGGATAGATGGATAGATGGATAGATGGATAGATGGATAGATGGATAGATGGATNGATAGATGGATAGATGGATAGATGGATAGATGGATAGATGGATAGATGGATAGATGGATAGATGGATAGATGGATAGATGGATAGATGGATAGATGGATAGATGGATAGATGGATAGATGGATAGATGGATGAATGGATGGATGGATAGATCGATGGATAGTTTTATTTATTTAGAAGCTTTCCGTTTTTGGGTAACTATTTTTCTCTATCATTTCTTTCCCTTTTGACATAAATTTTAAAAATCCTTATAAAATGATGTTTATTATTAGAAATGAAATAAAGGGTAAAAAAAGAAAATGAAATTTAGCCAATGCCAAATTACAATTATAATTTTTGTTTTTATAAATTAGTAATAATTACAAATCTTCGTTGTTCCGTTTTCCGAGAATTTCTCTTTGAAATATTACGGAAAATATTACTTTAATTAAATAAATGAAGAATTGTTTTTTTTTAATTGATTTTAATTTTCGTTGTTAATTATCTTTTGAAAAATAGCATGAAACGAATTGATTAATATATTAGAGAATATAATTTTGGATTATTGAAGTAATAATTTATTATAAATTTTATTACATTTCCTTTTTTTAAATGATCAAAAATGTTTTTCAGAAAATTGAAAATGGTTGAAATTTTGAATATATAATGCTTTTTAAATTTACTATTTTAAAACAATAGTTTATACATATCATTTAATTATTAACTATATATATGATATTATTTAGTATTTCAGTGAAATTCATCGAATGAATTCCGATACGATAACTAAAACTAATAAACTAAACTTCAATTCGATGCAATACTTTAGAATAGCTAAAATTGTCATAGGAAATGTTTCAAGTGTCCTTAAATTCGTAAGCTTTGATAGTTGAAAAAGCGAATTGATAGAAAGAAAGACAGCTAACAATCAGTGGGAGTGTTATCTCAAAAGATGTCAAAATTAATCAAAAAAAAATTTTCATATTTTTATGTTGTAGATAGAAGCAAATAAGCAACTTATATGTTGAAATGGAAAAACTTGAAAATAAATTAAATGAAAAATGAAATTTAAAATTTTTTAATTTATCGGAAGAAATTAAATCGAATAATGAATTTGCAAAAATAATTTCTATGCTTAATTATGCATTATTAATTTTAAATTTAATTTGTCAACAATTGCTATTTATAAAATATATGAATTATATGTTTTAAATGTTTTATAAATAGCATTTGATTGAAATATGATGAATTTTAAATGCACCTTTACTCTACTCCAATATACCTTTTCCGGATAAAATAATTTAAATCCATTATAGATGAAAAGGAGAGAAAAATGCAATGAAAAAATTAGTATCTCTCTCTCTCTCTCTCTCTCTCGATACATTTATATATATGTTTAAGTAAAATGTAAAATAATAAAAAAAACTTTTAAGATTTTATAAGAAAGAATGGAAAGGAATAAAATCTGAACCAAATGATGGATATACATTTATAGAATGTTTCCAACTTAAATGAAGAAAAAGGAGAAAAGACTTTTTGTGGTTTTTATTATTGATATTAGAGTTGTTGAATTGATGGATAAACAACTCACTCATAAAAGATATCCATAACTGAAGCAACTAACTAACTCCTCCTGCTTCCTTAATATATTCTTCCATTAATTATCCTATTTCATTTAAAATTGCATAACAAATATCATTTCACTATATACATATATACCTACTCTATACATACATATATATGTCGATGAAAATTGTTGAAAAAAAAGTTAGATTGAAAAAAAAAATGTAAAAATTTTAAAATGTCGTAAAAATGACATACACAATTAATAGCGCTATGTCTGTGTGCAATAGGCCAGATTCATTAAATGGGTTAGATTCATTAAAATACATCGATAATATACTTACTTATATGAATGGCAATATTCTCTATGAAGTTAATTAAATAGCATTGTTATTGGTATGTTAACTAAGAGTGGAAAAAAAAATAATGTTTAAAAGAGAAGTTAAAGCATAAAATAAAATGAACGATATATGCATTTGAATTTCATTAGCAATTGTGATTTAACAGAATAGCCATTCCTAAGATGAACGTAACTAGGCTTTTAAGGGATCATTCAAATGATATCTCAACATCATTATTATCATCATCAACAACAACATCATTTTACGATAAACCTAGACTTTTAAATGGTTAATCAAATACTATCAACACCATTTATCATCATCATTATCATCAACAACAACGTCAATTATCATCAACATCGTTATCATCATCATCATCATTATCGTCATCACCAACGTCAATTATCATCAATATCATTATCATCATCATCATCATCATTATCATCATGACAATAAATAACGAAATACGCAAATTTCACGTTTAACGATATAGATAGCCTGAGGAATTGAGAGAAGAGATGTGACTGTGATGTTTATGATTGAAGTGTCTGTGTGCTTTCAGCTGTTATTTCGGTATATAACAGATGAAAGCCTAATAAGGCTTTTTGTTGAGTGGATGCTTCGTTGTTGTCTTATAATTCCTATCTATGGCGCATATGTCTCTTAAACAAAACGTTGAACAAAACTGCTAGACATACATTCATGCATTGGTTTCAATGATCGTTGGCATGTAATAATATGGCTTGAGTCCAAATTGAAAATGATTCAACCAATGCAATCAATAGTTAACTGAAGACTTAGACAAGACTTATTTCATAGCTTTGTTCTATCTACTACTTCTATTGGAAAAGTGTGAATGATGTACCACCAGATAAGTAGCAGTAGTAGTAGCAGTTAGTAGAGAGTAGAATGAATGTATCCAAAAATGAGAGACGAAAAGAAGAGGGATTGGGAAGCGAATTCACAACTTTTTGAGAGGTATAAATATATTAATGAAAAAAAGCATATATTTTCACTTAAGCATCGGTGAATATTGCTTGGCTAAGCATCGGTGAATATTGCTTAACTAAGCATCGGTGAATATTGCTTAACTAAATCATTTTTTCATTTGCGCAGATGTCGCCCACTTCGAGAAGAAACGCCTTTTTTGCAACTTTACCCTGAACACTATCATATGTCATATAAAATATGGAAATAATCTATTCCAAGAGATCGATTGCAATTATCATCAAGAGACGACCGAGAAATTTCATTTTAAAATCATTTGGAATGTTTCAAGTGAAATCAGTATCAGATTGGAGAATATCAGTAAAACATTTTATAAATGCAATTATTTAAAATATATCTATTATTTTATTTGTATAAAAATAAAGTATCTGTTCCAATTAATATAACGTGAGATACGTAGAATCCACTTTAATACGCGGAATACGTAAAATTCTCTTTAATGCGCTGAATACGTAGAATTCACTTTAATACGCGAAATATGTAGAATTCACTATAATTTAGCAGTGTTGCATAACAACCATTTAGAAGTGCATTTTATAGCAAAAATTGCTTTAGTAGCAATCAGTAATATTCTGACAGCTTTCGGCAATTACACAAGAAAACGATCCCTTATAATATTACTGCTATGTTCAATATATATTTTACAACATAGCTAATTTAAATGTTCAAAATTTTATTCTTCACGGAATTATAAAGTGTGATTATAGTTATATTTAAATTTAAATAAAATTTAACTCTATAAAAGTATATTTAAATAAATCGCTGAACTGCTTTTGTTTCAACAAATTGTGAAAAAAAATTAACAATGAATTTCAGTAGGAATGAATATACTTTTTCCTATTCTTATAATTAAAATATGATTGTATTAATTTACAAAAATATTTTATGGATAATATAAGCTTCATTTATTTCGATATATTATTATTATAACAATGGTATTTATAATCATATATTACCTTTAACTTATTTTGATACATTTTAGCAATGTTATTTGTATTCATATATTACCTTTAGCGTAGTTTTACATATTAACAATGATATTTGCAATCATATATTACCTTTAACTTATTATTTATAAATTAACAATGGTATTTATTATCATATATTATCTTTAACGTATTGTTTTACATATTAACAATGATATTTATAATCATATATTACCTTTAACCTATTGTTATACAAATAAGCAATGATATTTATAAATATTTCAAATTTTTCAATATTTTATTTTCTCTGAAAGAAAAATAAAATGAAAGTGAAAATTGGAAATGTATTTATTATTACACAACGAATACTATATTATTATGATGTATAGCACTTTCTTTTCTTCGACTAAAAATGTATACTACAAAATAATGAAATTCATTATATATTTTCATTCGTATTTCAACAATTCGTATGAATATAAAATGGAAAATTTGTTTGTTTGATAGAGAGTATTTGAATAGTATCAAAACAAATTCTTCTATTTGTTGCATTCCTTTTTAATTGTTCATCGTTGGTTGAATGATAAATTGATAGATAGATCGATCGATGAATAAGCAAAAGTATACGATTCTCATTCATTCATATTATTACTTTTCCTTCAAAATGTTTTCAACAGAAATTGAAAATTTGTCATTGCTTTCAAGAATTTCTTTTTTGTTGTTGTAAAATAAGAGTTAGAAAAAGAAATCAAAAATATAATTTAGACTAAAAATTTTACAAAATTTTTCTCTCTTTCTTTCTTTAAAGAAAATGCTATTGTCATTGAATGTAATTCTTGACAATCAACACTTTTGATCTCATCAAATCAAACAAAATGTGGCATCAATTTATAATTCTTTTGTTTACTATTAATTTACTACTACATTCAACGTTCGAATTGGGAATTAATGAAATGGATTTTTGTTGTTCCAATACTTGTTGTTGCTCATTGTGTACTGCGGAACAATGTCGTTTACCTGATCAACCGGGGTAAATTTTTATTTGTTTTTTGAATTTAAAATTTCATCTTAATTAATCTGTTTTTAATTGATTAAAATGAATGAATTGTTATGATAAGTGGGTAGAAATATTTTTTGCTCATTCATCATAATTGTATCTTATGGAAGCAACCTTGTGTATAGCAATATATTTAATAAAAATTAATAGTGCATATAATTTACTTCATATTATTCGAACAATTAGCGAAAATTTTGCGAGAGTTAAAATTTCAGAAAGCAATGTCGATGTTACAACACAACCGATGTAACATGCTTGAGGTTCACAAATTTCATTTATAAACCGGAAACAATAGAATTACCAAATCAAGTGCAAATTTTTTCTGTTTTACCAGACCAACCAATAATGGCACAGGTAATACCAATGGGTATCAAAGAATTGGATATTGATCCGCTATGTTGTGCTGTTAAAAATTGTCCAGCCTGGATAAAATGCAGAAATCCGTCAAGTACAAAACGAGATCAATCAGGTCAATTCATAGCATTTCAACAATTACTTCATGACAGTTATTTCATAATGATTATTTCAAACTTGCTTATGGATAAATAACATGCGGGAGCAAATCTTCCTTAGAACTCTTATCTAGATGCCACAATGTAGGAAAATGGAGGTTAAATAATATCAAATACAGATCATGCAGCTAAGATCATACAGATCATACAACTCCAACAAACCAAAAAGCAAACGAAAAATGCTAGCAAAAGTGGATCAACCACTACCATCGATAGTTTTTTCAACGACTGAATTAAATTAGCCATTTCACCAAATTTTCAGATTAAAAAGATAAGAGACACATCAGCGAATAGTAATGATAAGGCAAATTTTTAGTGTTTAAATACGAATTATACCTGATGAAGGTAAGAAAGATGATAGAAATGTGTGATAAGAAAGTTTGATTTAGAAATTTCATGCGCTATAATACTTTCAACATCAATTGCAAAAAAAGGAATAATCACAGATTACTTTCCACCTTCTAATATACTCACTTTAATGTTTTGCTTTAAACTTTCACTTATCAAAATAGAATTTCTAACTGCTGCTTTTAATATCATTAGTTGATTTCTGGCGAATACTGAAATGATAATGATTAATTAAAAAGTTCATTTTTTACTTGATGATAATATTTAATGATAATAGAAAGAAAACAAGATTTATTTTAAAAAATTAAGTTCATTTTTTTTTAGCATCACAAACAATGCCGATACCATTATTTATTATTGCTTGCATATTATTTGCTTTGATTACTGTTACAACGATTGGCCTTTGTATCGCAGCTAGCGTATACATCAATGATAAACGACGAAATTGTGATATTTACAGCAGAACTGAAAGATATTGAAAAACAACTAGCATCTTCAAACAATTTTTCCATTTTGATCCTATAATTTAATTTGCATAATTTTTTATTACTCTTATAAATTGGTTTTTTGCAGATAATTAATGACAGATTTTTTTTTTTGCTTAAAAGATATCATTGTATCATTAATTACTTTCCGACAAAATTTTCATTTCCATTTTATTTCATGTGATTTTCTCACTGCCACCTTATCTATCCTTTTTTTAATTTATATGTGGTTTATTTGTGCCAAATTTCATTTATCTAAGTTATAATTATACGAGAATTCTGTTTTACTAAAATTTTAGTTATTCATTTAATTTGTTGAAAATTTATCGAAATTCTTGAAGGGAATTTTCTTATTACTTTATAATTGATTTATAATCGAACGATGATGAATCTGATAAAGAGCTGATTAAAAAAATTGATAATTTCTAGAATTCAACATCAACTAATTTTCTCTGCATTTTTAGAAGATACTATAAATGAAGTTTTTCGTATTGAAATTATTTCAATTAAGCAAAAAACATCTATCGTATAAATATTATCATTACTTTTAACACCTAAATTAATAAATTCCGTTACATATGAAAGCGAATTAATATCGTTCAAATATTTTGCTGAATTATCAGCACCGTAATTAGAAAACAGGTTGTAACATCAAAAAAAAATTATTGATTTTAATGAGAATACTTTGTTTTAGCGCAATGTTTACTTTCAATCTTAACGCTGACACACTCTTTGATGGTAAATGATTTTGTGTATTTCTAAAACTTAATTAGGATACTTCTTAATAATTCCGGGAAATTCAGTTCTTCATCAGGAAATATCATTTGAAATCAGAATTTTCGCAGACAACGAAATATCTTTTAATAAATTTAGTAATACTTTCTTAATCATTATTTTCTTCAAATTAAGAAATTAATTATCGGAAAAAAAGAACGACGATTTCACTTAATCATTTTTAATTTTCAACGTAAAAATTATTTGCCAATTAGCTTAAATTTTAAGTTTTACTCAAATGAAATGAATTTATCATTTGAGCTCTCTTGATCGTGAAATACTGATGTGATCGTGATCGTTTCAATTTGTTTCAGATTTTGACGCGTATGAACAACAATACGCCGAATTTTGGTTTTTTATTAATTATTCTAATTGCTCTTCTATTCCTTTTATCAGGTTACATTCTCAATTTGAACAAATCCTGAAATTATCGATGAGATCAGGAAGATCAATATATTTGCTAATCATGATAACCATATATCAATATTATTAATTAAGATCGGTGCATATTAGCACAATTAATTTTGAATTATTCATCGTACTATCGTCATTTCAAGATTAAACGATCATTTTTGAAATAGTTATCAGCTGGTTATACCTAAAAATAATCTATGGGAATTAACGATCAGAAACTGACAATAATCCAATAATAACTCAAATATATTTTCAAATGATTCAAATTCAATCATCATTATTATTATCCTATATTCATATACAATAGATTATTTGCTCATTAATTTTCAATCATTTTTTGTTTTAATTTTATTTCTCATGAAAAATAATAGTGAAAATAAACCTTCGATTAAACAGTATTATCAAAATTTATCACTCTATTACTAATCTAATTAAAATTTCATTTCGAGATTGTGCAAAAATGTGTTATGTTGGGAGGAATTATAAATATGTAAGCCGATATTGTGAAGGTGGTGGCAGTAGCCAAGAATTTGTTTGTCAGAAATTCATTTGCGAAAATGGAAAGTGTAAGTTTTTCATTTTTAAACAAACTCTAGAATCATAAATGTAGCGTGAAATTCCGAAAAGAAAATTTGATAGAAAATAAAATTTTCAAAAAATTTCTTTTTAAATAAATAAAATTTATTGAAGATGGTGATAATGATAATGATGCTAAAGTACTGATAATGATGACAAATGATAATGATGCTAAATGACTCTTTTTTAATTATTTAACATTTAAAATTTTAATTTTGAAATTCATTGCTATTCATTTCCAAAACGATCGATAAAACAATCAATCTATGCTTTAATCAATAATTTTATAAATTTTTAATTTCAAAGATTATAAAATTAATGATTCATTCGTTGAAAATCATTTGATAATTAGAAGAAATTTAAGGATGTTAATGTCAACAAAAATGTTTTTATCGAAGTCATTCTCATTATCATGCAATCATTTCAGCACCATTTATATTACGAACATGTGCGAACAAACGAATCGGATGCTTAGCAGGTCCAGCAATTTGCCGTTTCAGTGGTGGTACCGGTTCCTGTTCCCGTTGTAACCGGGATAATTGTAATTTATAACATATATAGCAGGAAAAAATAAATAAAAATTTGTTTAATTTCAAAAATCGGAAACGAAATGCACGCTTTTGTGATATGTGAAATATGTAAGAATTTTTAAAATGTTATGTTAGTCATTGGATTGTGATAATGCTATGGCGATCATTGGATTTTGATAATGCTATGGCGATCATTGGATTGTGATAATGCTATGGCGATCATTGGATTTTGATAATGCTATGGCGGTCATTGGATTTTGATAATGCTGTAGCAGTCATTGGACTGTGATAATGCTATGGCGGTCATTGGATTGTGATAATGCTTTAGTTTATAAATGTAATATAAGTCGATGTCATTCACTTCATTGTTATTGTCTCTCTTTCATAATAACTGCTAGATGTTATAAAATATGCATTTTGGAGAAATAGTAAGAAGTAGAACTTTTCCTTAGTTATTCATTAATATCATTAAATCAGTACTGGTAAGGATTTCATAAAAATTAATTTATGAAATTTGTTTTATAAATATTCTATCACTTCAAATGATACAATTTATAAAAACGCTTTTTATGCAAATACAGTAAATGTCAATCTGATAATCAATTCATTAGATATCATATCATATAACGAAACAACGCTTTTATAAAATTCATATTCCTTATTAGCTATCGAAATTTATTTTTTATTGATTCATTTAATATAAGGTTATTTTAATTTATATCATCAATAAAATATCATACAGATACTGCAACTGTCAATATATAGTGAACGTTAGAATTGTTACGAATAACGATCAGCCTATTGATCGGATTTCTGTAAATTGCGTCATTTATTCATCTTAGTCAGTCACACTTCAGACAAAATGTTGAATTTCTCACTCTTCAATCTATAATTATGATATGGCCATTCTATTCTACTCATACGTTCCATGTATTTTAGATTAAAGATCAACTTCTTCCACTTCTATTTTTTAAACTTTCAATTTTCAACTTTAAATTAATCGCAGCCTATTTTAGAGCTCAAAATTTGATTTGAGAATTTTGTCACTTTTCATTAAAAAAAATAATCACAACACATTATCATTATAATATAATTATCAAGCAAATTAACATTATTATGGTTTAATTCATCGTCTCAAAGCATAATCATGAACTTTTTGGTCTTACCATGAATAATCAGCGTAGAATAGAAAGCTCAATAATTGTTGCAATTTGCTTTTTAGAAAACCTTTGAATCTTTTCTTTCAAATTTGTTTATTTAAAACTAATTCCTTTGATTTAATAATTTTTAAAAACTAAAATCTAAAAATCTTTTTTTAAATTAAAAATTAAACAAATTATGATTTACTAGTTCTGTTTTCCCAAACCATTGAGCGCAGTAAAAAATGAACCTAACGATATTTCTCTCGTATTTATAGAAGGAGGAAGCGATATCTCTCGTATTTATAGGAGGAAGCGATATCTCTCGTATTTATAGGAGGAAGCGATATCTCTCGTATTTATAGGAGGAAGCGATATCTCTCGTATTTATAGGAGGGAAAGTGGCTGTTTTAAGTTCCACATATCGTTATCATTATTTAATCAATTTCTGTTTAACTTACAATTATTAAATTTTTGATGAATAATCGCGCAAACATTTCAAATGAATGCCATCGTAATAGCATAGCGATGACAAATCTAAGCATATTTTTGGACTAGAAACTAAAACTTTACATAGGTCACTTAATTAACGAATATATTCACTAGGAGGATCCGAATAGTACTGGGATTTTCACTCCCTTGATCTCGATAACTTCGATTATCATTTAAGGGATTGCGTTCAAGGACAGCTTGCTAGAAGCTATAAATCAATTAAAGTTCATTTATTGGAATTAAGCTTTCTAACATATCAAGCATTGAAGAAAACAATAGCAGTATAATTATTTGAAATTTCCTGAACCGGTTTTTTTTCATTCAGTATTTGAAAATTATGGATAAAAACAATATTAAGAAAAAACAAAATTGCATGATTAAAATCTACTTTTCTTTTACATACGAATATTTAATTAATTTTCTGTTAAAATAAATTTTTTAAATTGTAACAGGAAATTTATAGATCTTAAGAATTTTTTTAGGGTTCCATTAATTGATATGAATATGATTATGAAATATTACCGAATCTTTCTGCAAAGCGTGTTATAACCTTTGACATTAAAGCGATCGAAAATCCGTGATAACCTTGCAAAACAACTGTTGCATCTAAATAATCGGAGTATTTGCATCTCTAAATTCATCTTTTTAGAACTAATTCATGCTATAAAGATGATTACTGATAGATAATTGTGTCAAATGTTAAGGCTAAACCTTTGTTCATTTTGTTGCTTTGTCTCTAAAGGATATAATAAAATCCTTTGTTCGCCGCTACTAGCAAATGTTAAGTACTCTTTGATCATAGAGCGCTCTTTGTCTCAATGGCTCTGCTTGGTATGATTACATGTAAAGGCTATGTGATCGTTGGGTTACCATCGATCGACTTATCCTTCCTTATAGGTTGAAACGATCCTTTCTTTACTATCAGTTTTTTCTATCAAATAATCTCTTAGCTAGCATCATCACTCTTGCCCACACCATGACTTGTTCATTTTACTGGGAGTAGCATTCGTCAAGCATCGTCCAATTCAGAACCAATATATGGTTCCTTTTTGATCCTTACTGACAAGAATCAAATTTTTTTGTTTTACCCAGCAGCTGTAAAATTCCTCAGGATCACATTGCTTCAGATCGCAATCCCAATCACCCTCATAGATCTACGACAAAAGAGAATAACCACGGAATCGATATAGTTACTCTCTATTGCTTATAATTGTATTGGAACGTTAAGAATAAAATCTCTTCAAATCAAACTAAGGTTTCACTATAGTTCAATTATGTCTAATCCAAATCTCTTCCCTAAGATATTCACAATAAAAGATTCTATTCGTCTTCGATATTTTTGATCTAACCAATTGTTGCCTCATGCTGGAATCGAACCAGCGACCTCCTGTTTACTAGACAGATGCTCTACCCCTGAGCCAATGAGGCCTAGTAATTTTTCGTTAGTTCTTTTCATCTCTTTCAAAAATTTAAAAATTTTATATTTCAAATCTGTCATTAGTACAAAACAAAAATTTTGCCACCTTTTCGTTTTAGGAATGAGAATGGAACTTTTTGCAATCTTCCATATTTAACTGAGAAAAAATTGATTGGAAAACAATAAATTTTAAAATGTAAAAAAAGTTTACAACTACTTATCATATCGAAATCTCACTCTTTACAGTTATACTATATCATACACTTTTATATGTTGTAAGATTGAACTTTTTCATATTAAGTAAAATTAAACCGTAACATTCACTTCTGCTAATCTTTTCCCACCAGCTTGCTTAAATTTTAGTTCTGCAATAGTATTTTTTTTTCTTTGAATTGACAAATTTTCGTCCTTCTCATGCATATTTCAAACATATATCGCAAAAAATTTTATAAATGTTATCTTGTGATCTTCACACATATACCGTTGTAAATTCTACACATGTATTGTTGCGATTCCCACGCATCGTTATAAATTCAATACGTGTATTGTTGCGATTCCCACACAGATATCGTTGTGAATTCTACACGTGTATTGTTGCGATTCCCACACAGATATCGTTGTGAATTCTACACGTGTATTGTTGCGATTCCCACACAGATATCGTTGTAAATTCTACACATGTATTGTTGCGATTCCCACACATCGTTATAAATTCAATACGTGTATTGTTGTGATTTCCATACAGATATCGTTATAAATTCAATACGTGTATTGTTGCGATTCCCACACAGATATCGTTGTGAATTCTACACGTGTATTGTTGCGATTCCCACACAGATATCGTTGTAAATTCTACACATGTATTGTTGTGATTCCCACGCAGATATCGTTGTAAATTCTACACGTGTACTGTTGCGATTTCCACATATCGTTGTAAATTCAACACATGTACTGCAATTAGAAGATGGAGAGATTCTCCGAACTCTCTCATATGTATTTCATGACATCTTTCTAAAATGATTGCATTTTCTCTATTCCATTTGTTTTTGAAATTTTATCGTTGTGTGATTTTACTTCCGTCTTAAAGTTAGCGGTTGAGCACGTTCTCATTTCATTTCTTCGAATCCATTAAATCGCTTCTATCCGTGTTATCTTTTGCACTATTTCTTTTTCCTTCTCACATAAAATTAGTTTGAAAGTTGAAATTTCAGAGACACGTCATAGCGTTACATGCCTATCACTACTATATGTGTAAGTATAGAAGTTGAGCGTACAATGAAAGATGGGCATGGATAATATTGAATTTTCATAAATTAAAAGGAAATTCCACATTCCTATTCATTTTGAATTATATATATTATTTAATTCAATTGTCGAAAATATTTGTTTTAGAAAAAGGTCAAGATTTTAAAGAAAACGAAAATTGTCAGAAATTATTTCGTTCAATTAATTTAAAATTATTGTTGGTTTAATCTAACAATAATATTAATTATGTATTAGTTATATACATATATACAT